AGGTGTTTGAAGTCATTTTTTCTGTTCTTTTTACTTGATCAGCACTACGGGCGAAGGAAATGGTCTGTAATTTCAAGATAAATCAAGTAAACAGATGGGACTTAACTGTTTGCTGCATTGTTGTTAATTGTTTGTTAAAGTTTCAACTTAACTAGATGAACGGAATACTGTTTTTGCTTGTATGGGGGAGGGTTTTCATAGAGTGTGATTAAATTTTGTTAATGAATTTTCCCACAAAAGTATTTAAGCAGCATCTTTTCCTACCTCTTATTCTATTTGCGGACTTGCAGATGTTATCTTCGAAGAAGATTTCTTTTAGTCAAAAGCAGCATCGTCGCAAATTTTCTGTAAGCGGGAGATTTTGGTGATGAATTAATGTTGCTCATAAGTGTCATTTTTATTCCACTGTTTTCTGGTGGTCTTCTTATTACTGGTTTTGTACTTATTTGAATAAGAGGTGCTGAGAAACGTTCACGTTTATGTTGACGTAATTTTTTATTGATTTTTATTCGCTCCCTTTCATCTCGAAATCGCGATTCATAAAAATTTTGAAAAATATTGTTGACTTTCTAATCTGAATATTCAGATTGCCATAATGTCGTAGATGTTTCGTCGGAAACTGATACGTTTTCTTAACGTGCTTATCGGTTTTTCTTTTGTAAGTTTTCTTTGGGTTTTTTTTAAAGATAGCGTACCTGCATATAAAGTTTAGTAAGGGGTTTCGCAGTTGTTATCTATTCTTCTGTGTTCTTGCTGGGTACTTAGTGTACAGTCATATATTTCATAATTCTGAATTCTAATGGGGAATATAAAACTCAGTTTTTCTGGTTATCAAGCCATAATTTTGCACTAGAATTGTAATAGTCCTTCTGAGTTTGTTTGCTTTGGTCAAGACTTAAAGTTCTTTCTTATTTGACGTCTTTTTGCAGTTGGGGTTGCTTGTTGCTTATATGCAAAACCCGTACCCACCAATAGAAGATCATGAAACCGTTCCATTTAAAGAAGGGAAAGTCGCGATACCTGTCATAGCTGAGGACATTGTAATTTTATTGTATTTATTTTATTGACAAGAGTTGATGCTTGTAAACAAATATTTTTGTTTTTTAGCTCGCTGGTGATGAGTAAGTTGTTCAATAATTAAACTTTTCAGAAGGAAGTGGCTCCGGGATGGTCTGTTGATAAAGTTGGGTCATCGCTTAGCAAGGAAGAGATAGTTAATTCCATAAACTTTTTAAATTCTCATTATGAAGTGCTGAACGTTGATAAATTTGGCCCAGTCAATGAATCAAAATTTATTATTGTTGTTCAGGTTTTTTTCTTCGTTTTGTATATTCAATAATTTTTTTTCCGAATTTTTTTAGTTTATCACGATTATTTTTTGCGAGTGTTTTGATAAGATAAACTTCAACGTAATGGACGTTTTAGGATCAGAAGTTTATTGTTTTTATCTCTTTTATCCAGCTGAAGCTGGCCTGAATCTTTTTCAGGAATTTATTTATTATTATTTAGGTACATACACGCATTGAGTACCTAAAATATTTAATTGACTCCTTAAGGAAATGTAAGGGGATTGAAAAAGGTTTACTTATATTTAGTCACGATTACTCCTCGTCGTCAATTAATAGTCTCATCAAAAGCATTGAATTTTGTCACGTAAGTGTTAAAAAACGCCATATTACTCGTTAAAAACGAGCTATTTTTATCATTACTTTTACTGAATTCATACTCATCTGCTTCAGTATGTCAAAGAGAAGCTGAAATTGGTAAATTTTACAGTATCTGTAGTAATCTTTTTGATATTTACTTTACTTTATTTTGGTTTGCAGGTAATGCAAATTTTTTATCCGTATCCTGTGCAGCTTTTCCCAAATTCTTTTCCGGGTCAAGATCCTAAGGACTGCAAGTCACAAATGACGGAGGCCGAGTATGTTTTTGAGTACTTCATTTGTCTATGTTGCTTAGTAGAATTTAAAAGTGGGAGCAACTGTTAAAAAAACTTTACTTTCTTTTGATTTTGTTATTTAGGGCTAAGGAAGCGCGCTGTAATAACTGGAAATGTCCAGACAAGTACGGTCATTACAGAGTTGCGAAGTTGACTCAGATAAAACACCATTGGTGGTGGAAGGTACTATATTTTTTACTTCTTAATACTTAAACTTGATTAGGTCTCATCTGGAAAATGTTTTGAAGATGAATTACGTCTTTGATGGTGTCATGAGAAGATTCAACCTGTCAAATGTATGGGTCGTTTTACTTGAAGAAGATCATTATGTTTCTCCTGACTTCTTGCACGTAATGGATATGATCATTGAGCGCAAAATGGAGTACGTTATAAGTTTTGTTTTAATTTTTCTGATAATACATGACTATGCTTTCAGAACATATTTTCTGAAAACTTTGCCTCTGTTTTAAAGTTTATAGCGGCGATTTAAAATTATAAATTTGATGTTTTAACTATCTCTCTCTTCAGGTTTTGCTCAGAATGTCGGGTAATTAGTCTTGGAATTTATCTAAAAAAGTACCAGAGTTTCGAAAATGATCTCTCAAAACTGGGTGTCTATCCCTGGTTCAGCAGTAAACATAATATGGGATTAGCTCTTAATTTGGCTGCATGGGAGCAAGTGAAGAATTGCTCTAAAGTGTGTTTTTAATTCTTGATTGTAAAGATCTTTGTTTTAATAGTTGTGGTAGTTTTATTCTTTGTAGCTGTTTTGTACATACGATGATTATAACTGGGATTGGACCTTGATGCATCTCAGTGCGAAATGTTTCCCTTCAAAATGGAAAGTGATAGCCGCCAAAGCGCCTCGAGTACTGCATATTGGTGACTGTGGCGTTCATACTCATCGTTGTGCTGTACATAATGCTGCAGAGAAGGTTACTTGTGGTTCTTAATATTCTCTTCTTTTTTTTTCTTTTTTTATTTTAGAGTCCATGTTTAATTATATTTTTTTAAGGCGAAGGAGTTGTTCAATAGAGCACAGGCATTGTTATTCCCAAAAGTATTAAAAGTAACCGAAACTTCGAAACGTATGATGAAACCGTCACGAGAAAATGGTGGTTGGGGTGACGTTCGTGATCATGAATTGTGCCTTAATAATTCTGTTGTAAATTTAGCTGAACCTGTTGACTTTTTACGTGGCTCTCTAGGCGATGTTATAGGAGACGCTGTTTCAGAACCTATGCTTCATCCACTGTAAATTTCTGTCAAAAATTTTTACTTTGTTGATGCTGTTTTTTGCGAAAAGGTTATTACCTTTTACAATTTATACAGTATTTCGTTTTCGTTCCTACAAATTTTTTTAGAAGAATTGGTATCACGTTGCAGAAATGGAAGGCCTTGAAATGATCTCGTGCTTGTTTTCTTTAGTTGATAACGTTGTTGATTTGTTTAGTGGTGTAGTTTCAAGTCCTATGACGGTGATTTAATGGACAAAATGATTTATGCTTTCTACTTTAAAGCTTTCTGCAGTTCTATTTTGCTTCTTATTCTGCAAGCTATCTTTTGGCTTCTGGTATGATTTGATTTTTTTTTTTTTTTTTGAAGCGGTTTCATTCTTTTCGGTTACTGGTACGGTTTCTGCTGAAAATCTTGGTGCATCTTAGTTAGCAGGTGGTCAAAATGCAATTGAGTAACTTGTGTCATTGTAGGTGTGCTCTAATTGGCTGCTTAGTTTTGTGTTGGTTTGGGCGAAAATTGTAATTGTCAGGAAAAGGGTATAGGATGAAACCGAGGTAGTTTTTGTGTTATTTCACTGCAGCTGGCATTATCAAGATTCCTCTTTGCAGATGGGTTGTGCCATCTTGAGGTTATTGATAGTCAAGATAACTGTGACTTCAGTTTTCTTGCCTTTGTTATTTATAGTTATTGTAGGACTTTGGCACGTGTATTTCTTTGTTGTTTTCTTTTTTCTTCTAAGCTTAATGACGAAAAATTTTTGGAATTAATGGATATTGCTGACCTTTTGTCTACTGGTATAGATGAATAGTTGTTAACTGCGTCAGGATGGCGATCAGTTTGAAATCTCGTAATTGGAAAGTAAATAAATTAAATTTTACATATAAGTGTACTTACACTTAGTTGCATAGTAATTGCATAAATAATGACGTTAAGTTGCATTTAATAGTCAGAACAGCATCCTTTTTAGTTGCTGATTTTTAGATGGGTAATTTAGTATAATGTTTTAATAAGACGCGTTAGGGGACTTT